TTTTGCATTGAATACCCAAGAAAAGCCAACTGTTATATGCTCCCCATAGCATAACTGGCCTTAAAAATTCTAGGGATAAAAATCACTTTTCTTCACTTGTCCAAGTTAAGCTAGGAAACATAAGGCCAGGTTGCTTTTGCTGCTATTACTTCATAGGCAGCTCTTTTCAGTTCTCAAGAAAAGCAATTTATATATATGTATATTACTAATTTTTTACTATCATGTGCAGAGCGTTAATATGTTTGAATTTCTAAGTTCATTTAATTGCCATGCAGGTTTTAATTTTGATGTTATTTTCAGTAGTACATTGTTCAGATAAACACTGCTTGCCATTGACCAAAATACATCACTTTAAGATGTCTTCTAGATGAAGTAAGCTGATGTTAGTATTTGGTCTAGTGCTTGATTTTCCTTCCGTTATTTCATGAAGCTAGAGTTGCATGGAAAGCATTAGCAACATCTTCTCAGAAGTGTAGCAGAATGAATAGCTTGCAGAAAATTTAGCTTTAAACTTCATCTGCATAAAATTTTTTTATACTGTTTTCAGTAGTAGTTGGCCATAACAAGTAGTTGTTGGTGATATCTATTGCTCTTGATTTCTTTACTTTGTGTTAATAGGAGCAAGGGGTAGTTTTGCTCTTTCTATCACAGCATCGTGCTGTGCTGAAGAACCTAGTGTGATTGGTAAACGGTATGACCCCCATCGCATTAATCTGGTACTCGTACTTCAAGGGATATAGAGAGTGCAGGAGCAGTGATACGTTTTTATTTTAAAGAAGAAAAAAACAACCTTTGAAATTATTGTTCACAAATATGTATTGGCTGAAGTAGGTCATTAGGTGATCTGTCACTAATTGTAAAGCATCATCATAACATCATCATAATCATCATAGCTACAATATAGCAATGACTATTTTTAAAGCCGAGAGGAAAAGGGATGTTGATTGGATATAAACTGATTAAGAAGCTGTCTTGGAATTGGTTCTTCCGGCCATTCTTGTTGTCCTATCATGAAAGGATGAGAGTTCAGTAATGGTTTAACTACAATTAAATCCCTCCCCTTTCTTTATGGAAACTCGACTGTAGGCATTTCAGCATTAGCCTAAACAATGGTTTTGAATATGTTAAGCCCCTAACAATTAGGGAGCAGTTTGGGGCATTGAATAATGTGGAATGATGCAATTGAACCTGACAGCTTCAACAGTCAGCCTACTCATGGGACCCGAAAGTTGTTCACACTTGGTTTCATCTCTCATCACACGCTGAGTATTAAAACCTTACTGGTGTGGAGCTGAGACAGAAATGAGGCCTGTTATCAGAAAATATTTCATAGCATAAAACTTGAAAGGCACAGGGGAATAGGCATGTTCAAAGGTTCTCAAATTTTTGAGACCTAATCTAATTGTATACAGCTAAGTATTGTCTCATTTTTCTCCCATTCTATTTTTTTTGCTTAAAGAGCATGTAACTTTTGAAATGAAGACAGTGTTTTCCCTGGAAATTTAAGTAAATGTCCGGTTATGAATGCAAATGGTTGTCAACTTGGTAAACTTCATAGTCATACTGTTACAGTAAAGCACCATTTTGGAGTGATGCAAACAAATATAAAACTATTTTAAATATTTCAGAGGATACTTAAATATGTGAGTTAAATTTGGTTAACTTGCAAATCTAGTTCTTTAATTAGAAGAATATACTTGCACTTCCTCTCTTGCTGTAGAGAAAGTGTTTTTAAGCATCAATCAAATATCAATCATTTATTCTTATTGCACTCGGGCATTCCATGAATTATAGTGTATCTTCCTTCTGTGCTGCTCTGCTGCTTATTGCTTTACTGATTTATTGAACATGCCATAAATGAAAGCAGTGTATTATATACCTCTAGATGGGCTTAAATCCTTCTGCTAAAATCTTTTCAGGAAAATTTGCTGCCTTTTCGAAATAAATACTTAGCAGTCTCTTTATTTTATTAGTTGATACATTTTGATTGTGTATTGTGTTGACTGTTTAAACAGAATCAGTTGAAGTAAAGAATACTACAGCTTTAAAAGTTCTGCATTTTAGAACGTTTCAGTCCTGTGACCTTAATATGTATTGACAGGATGATTGCGCATTTTTAATAAATGCTTGCTACAGCTTGTTTCGACTGAGAGTGAAACATGAAGCTCATATTTCACCTTTAAATAATGTAGCACTCCTCCACCTCCTCTACTTTCCTGTCAGATGAAGTCGTCACATACATAATAAAGCTTCGCAAATCGTTATTCTTGTCATTTTACATTGCCATTTAAAAAAAGTATTTTAAAAAAGTTTTCTATTTACCTCCAGCTTACTTGAACAATTTACCTAATGTGACTTTCTCCTTTTGAGAGTTGCAGAGGATACATGATGGCACTAGAACTTCTGTTGTTCCAAGTTGTAGGACACCTTTACTATTATTTTAAAGTATAAACAGGGGTTAAGTTTAGGGTGAACCACCACTTGTGAAAAAACTCAAGTTCTTGGATATTGTTTAAATCATGCTAAGTCTTTTGATCTGTTATATCAACCCACTTAGCAAACATTGTTTAATTCCTTTGATGTCTTTTGTTTTGTGATGTGATGGTTACTCAACAGGCTTTAGCAACTCCTTTCAAGATACTTAGATACTTTTAGAAAGTTCTTAAAGCTATTTGGGCACATTTCAGTCAAATAAACATGTATTCTCCTTGCTGATTATAGCTGCTCTGCCATCATAAATTAATGTATAGTTGGTATTGCAAGGTTTTAAGCAGCCTTGTAGTGAATTACATAAAGTGAGAGTAAGTATAGCAGCTTCTGTGTAAAATGTGTGCAGTTTGCTTACTAGAATTAAGAGAAATCTCGTATAGAAATACTCTAAAACTAAAGAGAAATAAGACCTGGTGTTTGTAGTGTAAAAAAAGGCACAAACTATATCAATAGAATTAATAACCTCCACCAATTTATTTAAATAAAGTATATATATATTTTTATTTTGCTAGTATTGTCTCTTAGATAGGGAAGCGAATAATGGTTGAATCTTGTAATATTCCATTCTGTAAGGTTTCTTCAGTGAAAGAATTTGACAAAAAACTACTTTTTTTTGAAGTTTGTTTTGGTTTTGAGAGGAAAACAGCTGAAGGTTGCTAGTGAACAGTAATAGTTGACTTGGAATCACGCTATAGGAGCTTATTAAGGAAAATAGCAGGAGCTATGCAGTATTGCTGCCTTCATCAGTAAGTGTCACAGTACTGCATTTCTGGAAGCTGTTATACCGGGGTAGGTGGAAATGCCTGCATTATTTTTAAGAATTACAACTAATTCAGATTAATTCTACTAAAGACATGCAATTCTTTAAAAAAAAAGAAATAGCACCCAAATTTGAAGTGAAACTGGTTCTGTGTCTAGCAATCTTGCACACACCTTTAAACTGAAAAGTGAAAAAAGCCTGATCATTGTAAGTAATTATTTGTGGTTCTTTCTAACTTTGTGACAGTAGAAGAATATAAGTATCAGGCACAATTTCTCACCAGTATATAGTAAATAAAGCATCATTGAAAACAGTTGTGTGAATTCATAAAAGTCCATTCATCAAGTTTAATATGTTGGCTGAAAGCCAGAACTTAATGGTAGTGTGTGATTCTTTCCAGAGACATAGTTTATACTCTGTAATATTTTGCTGTAATAACCAGTATGTTTCCCCTGTCTCCTGTGTGCAGTTATACATGTCAAAATGTCCCACAAATTGAGTTCCTTACTGTTCACCTTCTTTTTTTTGTTTTTCAAAAAAAGTTTCCTTTGTAAAGGTTGTTTACATTTTCTTAAAAGATTCATTTTAAAACCAGTGATCACACAGGTTGTGTATCCCCTCCCCTCCCCCTGAAATATTGCAATCTTTTCTTTGTTCTGAAATAATTTTTTAATCGTGTAGGAAAATGCCTTTTTAATAAGCAGCCATGCCTCTTTTTCTTTGATTGCCTGTCTCTGCAACTGAGCATTTGACACAAATCTTTTCTTCGAAAGGGAAAAAGCATAAGCAGCCAAGGAAGAAGGTATTTTTATTGCGTTGGATTATGCAAGATTTTGGCCAGCCTCCTTAGCTTCATCTGTTTAAGGGTTCATTTTCGCTTGTTTGGCACAAGTCCCAGCAGAGACCTTCAGAATTGTGGTTAGCAACATGAATGAACACAAACTTTGGGAGCTCTTCAATAAGTAGAGCTGGCCAACTGCCAAAAATACAGTTCCTTATATGGGGTCAGGGCAAAGCTGTGATTCGGCGAGCCCCCTATTGTATAGAAAACATACTTGTAATGGCTGTTTGCGTTCTTTAAAATAAAAACAAAACAAAACAAAAAAACACCAGGCTTCCAAGTCTATCAAAATAGGAAGTAACAAAATAGTGTGCAGGTTTTACTAATGACCGAGTCGAGCAAAGGAAATATGGCTCTGTGTAGTTAAACTATAGAGCTGAAAGTTGGACCTTTTGACCTCCACAGCCGGCTTGTGATGTAAGGAACCCAAGCATTTGTGAGACATCTGTTGTCTACCTGCCCTTATTTTGTAAATGGTTTAATAAGATTAAATAATTAGTAGGATAACCACATGGTCGCCATGCTACTAAGTCCTAGTATTGAGTGCATACTTCAGGATCGTGAGGAAGTCTACCCATCCTGCTACATGATGGTTGTTTTAAAATGCAATGTAGGTAGTTTTAATATTTGCTGCAGTAATTTTTTTATCAGAAGAGTTTTTTATTAACAGATCTTGCCAACGACAAGTAAAACACACTTTAAAACCTGATACATTTTCAAAGCACTATTCTATTTTGGTACTCACAAATGGAAAATAATTTTTTTGCTTTCAAACACCTTCAGTTTTTAAAAAAACATTCAACTTAAAAAAATAATAATCGTGCATCAGGAAGGCTTCTTTAAAATATATTTAGCATTTCTCCCCCTATTAAAAAAAAGGATTCAAGTTTTTTAACTGTTTTCTTGCAGGCAAGCACCCTACCTGGATCTTCTCTCAGTCTGCCTCCATCCCATATGTACGGCAATAGGCTGAATCCCAGTTCAGCAATGGCAGCACTTATAGCTCAGTCTGAAAACAGCCAAGCAGGTAAGCTTCCTGCTGCTGGTGACAAATGTACAACTTTACAGACTTTTAAGTATTTTTTAAAAGATTGTTAAATTTTATTTTTGAACTCTGGTCAGCATTTGGTTATTAAATGTCTGTATAAAGTTGTTATGTGTTGGAAGTAAATTCTCAGTCGTCCTGCAGAACAGCGCGGGTTTTCTTCTCCCCCCCC